TTGAAAAAAGCCCCCCCCAGCTTCCTTGTAGCCCCTTCAGGTATTGGAAGGCTGCAATAAGGTCGCCCCGGAGCCTTCTCTTCTCCAGGCTGAACAAGCCCAACTCAAAGAGCATCTTCGTGGCCTCCTCCAGATTCGATCCAAGCAGTCGATATCCTCCTGGTGTTGGGGGCCCCAGAGGCGGACGCAGACCTGCAGGTGGGGGTCTCACCAAGAGCAGAGTGGAGGAGGAGAATCACCTCCCTTAACCTGCAGCCCAGGGTACGGTTGGCTTTCTGGGCTGCCAGTGGACGCATTGTCAGCTGCTATCAAGCTTCTCTTCAACCAACACTCCCAAGTCCTTCAGGGCTGCTCTCACTGGGTGCACTGCAGACTGTTCTTGGAACCAGCTACCTAACTCCCTCTCAGCCTCCTCCGTGTTACACAGCCTTCTCAGTGCCTCCAGCAGCTCAGCCCCTGCTCCAGCCCCCAGCCTGAGGCCTGCACTGCAGCCTCTCTCCAGCAGCTCCATCTGGGCAGAGGCACAGACCACCCTTGGGCAGGTGGTGCAGAACCCTCTGCCGCAGCTGCAGCCTTTGCTCTCAGACGAGTGCCCGGCACTCTGCCCTGAGGGTCTGGTGGGATGAGAGCCCTGCGGCCTGTGCTGATGGTTACAGAACAGTGCCTGGTTGCTGGGTGATGTGCGCTGCAAGTCCCCCACCAGGCCCATGGAATGCCCCTCCTTTACGGGAGGCCCATCCCACATGGAGTACTGCACCCTTTCTGGTGTGCCATGCCCTGTTTTCCCACCCTGTTGTCCCTGCCCATGTCAGGAGGGTTGGCCTAGGTGATCTTCCAAGGTCTCCTCCAACCCAAACCATTACGCCATCCTATGAATATGGATTTTTTTCTTTCATACTCTTAAAAAGATATATGGACTTCTTGGTTGTTGATGTGTATTTGGTAGGGGCTTTTACTGACCTGTTCAGGTGGTGTGCAGGGCTACATATTAATTTAGAATTCAGAGTATGTGTGCGTATTGCGTGCTTTTACTTGCCATGTGCATTTCTGTACACTTACCAACCCTGAATTTTCTTTATAACAGCTTAGTGGGTATATGTGTGGGATTGCTTGTCTGGATCTGAGTGCAGAATCAGGGTCATGATTAGTATGACTGAGGTACTGATGGTTCTGTTCCAGTATGAGAGGGTGTTCAAGGAAACTGCCTACAAGATAAGAGTTTGCAGCTTAACTACGAAAGATCTGATTAGAATTTTATCTTCGTTATGAAGTGTTCATTAAAATCCACATGGCAAAATAATTCTGAGACTCTACTGGCATCTGGTACTTAGAAGTTGTGCACTTTCAAAGTACTGAAATGCTGCCACTGTTTTCTGTAGCATCCACAGGAAGGACCAGGCACTCATCTTTAATTTCTGTTGTAAGATAACATAAAACGCTTGGAATTGTGGGGTTTTTTTTTAATTTTATTTAGAGCTATGGTTTGCACATCATGCAAACATTTCAACCTTTGGGCAAATTGAAGGAAGAACTGAGGATTGGTTAAATTATAGCTAAAACTAATGGGTAGCAGACTGTTCAGGATTATTATTTCCTAATATTACTAATTAATTTGGTTCATTGCCATTTTTGAGAGAGTAGGCCATTGAATCTTTTGACTTGCGTCAGCGCTCAGATTTAGACTCCATACCACTAGTTATTATGAGGAGTAATTTCTTACAGATACTTCACTTGTGTTGATGTGTTTTTTATCTTGAACCAGCTTCTCTTCTCACTTGCAAACTACGACTTGGTAAAATCCAGTATTCTGCGTTCTGGGTCTGTCAGCTCTGTGCAAGAGATGTAGGTGGTAATAGGCTGGCTGATAGCTTCGTGGGGGTGAAAAGCCAAATAGTGTTTGTTAGAGCCACAGAACAAGTATTTCCCAGGATGAGGTGAAGTTTTCTGTGACATACTGAACGATGCTTCTAATTGTTAGAGGAAAAAACGTTCCATTTTGAACACAGGTCTTTCAAAACTTTTTGGTGCAGACTGCTTAGCTGATAGGAATTTATTGTCCTGAAAAAATATAAAAACTGTGGAATTGTACTAAAGCTGTGCTGTTTAATAGTAGTTATTGTCTCACTTCATCTTTCATTTTTCTTCACTGAACTCTAGGCAGTGTTCAGCTGCACCGTGTTGTTAATGATGTATATTCTCCTGTTGCATTAATTGCTGCTTTGAATCTTTACTTGTATGGTAGTACCTTTATTATATTTTTTATGCTGTATAACACAACACAGTCATAGTCAATTAGAATGATAGTATTTGTATAATTTTTTTTTTTCTTTGAGTGCATTCTTAATTTGGCCAGTGATAATAGTCTGGTATCAATTCGATCCAGATTTTAAGCCTTTGCTTGGTAATGTATCAGTTTAGAAATCAGGACACGGGTTGAGCAGATTAAAATGTGTATTTTCCTCTCGGTGAGGAAGAACTAGCTTTTTCTTAGGGTTCACTGTGGCAGTTTTTCATCATTTCTGTTGCTTTTCTTCCCCTCCCCCTCCCCCTATATTGTGTTATCTATATGTTTCTTGGTACTCTGTGTAAATCTATCTGTTTTACAGGCAGGTCAAACTAGATGCCTCAGAGCTTGCTTCTTTTGGAAAACTATTCAGGGTATCTTTAAAATATATGCAATAAAAAAGATGAGTCCCATGTTGCCAAGCAGGAGAAGTTTTTTATAGCCCTCAGACAGCATTACTTAATATAATGATGCGTGGGAATGCAACTAGTGAAATTACGTACCTAAAATTCTTGACAGAGCTGTCAATTCGGTATCTTGACTGGCTGTTTGAAGCCATATGGGAAAAATTCTGAAAGTAGTTTTCTCAGAAGCTGGCCTTCTTGCCAAGGGGTGTATATGTAATGTGAATATACTAAATTCTCTCTGCCAAATGCTGGCAAATTTACAGAAATACTCTGAAACACATGCATCCTATGGTGGTTATGATAAAAAAAGGATTGGTGTGCTCTGTCTGTGTTAAGAGGGAAAAATTCTTTGAGGTATCAGAAGTGCAAAATAAGGAGGAAAACAACTCAAACAGGTTCTTGTTAGTGTCTGATCCACTAGCCACTCTTACGTTGACAGAAGTCATCGTCACGGTGAGCTGTGAACCAACTTGCATCATATGATGCCATCACAGTGGCCAAGAGAACGCAAATGATGAAAAATGTGGTAAAGACACAGTTTTATACCTACTGAGGTTAATTTTAATAGCTACAGCACAGCTGAGTCTATTTAATCTTCTACTTTCCCAGCTTTGTTAGCAGGTACTTTAGTTGTTTGCAAATTTTAGGTACTACTTCTTGAGGATTTTTTAAGTAAGTTTCTTCCTATCCTTCTTGCCCTTTTCTGTCTTCTACCAAGGAAGTTCTAATGGTGAAGATTAGCAGAAGGTACATTTTGAGAATGTTTAAAAACAACTGAAACATTTGCTCTCTTCCTACGTGCAAAATAGCGTCTTTTAAGGGTATAAAAGAGTACCGTGCTTATCTTGTGTAACTTCATGTGTAATACAAACCACAATTTTTCTTCAGTATGTAAAAGATCTTTTGAAACAGGGATCTGGTTGTGATTTCAAGGCTTGAAGTGACAGGTAATTGCTGGGATTTTTTTTTATGGTTAACGAAAATGTGCACCTTATCTCTAATTAAAATCTAACTTCATTTTCCCACCGTTGGGTCTTGCTATATATTCTTCTTCTAAATCAAAAGAGCCAGTCAGCTGTGACTTTTCTATATAAGTGCTTGTAGACTGGTGCATATTTTTACTGCGACTCTGTGCCCACAAATTTCCCATGGAGAGACAGAGCATGACGACACTTCTACCTTTTGCACAAAGTGAATCCCTAAATATTAGGGTTTTGGAAACCCGAATGCTGTTTTTAATGTTTGTCATGCAATCCCCTTGTGTTTGCTTTCAAGCTAGCTGCTTATCAGTTAAAATACACGTAAAGATGAAAACCTGCAGTAACTTCAATTAGGGAAAAGTCTTTTGAAGTTGTTGCTTCTTAGCAGTAGTCTTGCTCTACCGATTTCATGTCATATTATTTCTTTTGTTTCCTCCCTTTTGAAGTACACTGGTACTTTTGGGTGTGTGTCTTTTCCTTTTTTAAATTCAAAGATTAAAGATGTGAGAGGTTTTGGTTTGAGTAGTGAACAAAGAAGTCTGAAAATATCACTTTTCCTGGCATATGTGCTAAGTAAGTTTTGCTGAAGAGAAATAGAACTTTATGCTTGCAGACAAAAGTCGGAAGTCTGAGCAAATTAACCCTCCAGAAGTGAGCCAATCTTGGGCGAAGAATCTAGTTCATCTTCCATATTCACCAAGTAAGGTGGCTTTAGGTACATAATTTATATAGATTTTTCCTTTTTAGAGTTAAGTCTCGGTCTCTTTTTCAATTTTTAATATGCTCATAATATTCAGATCCTCTCTGAGCGGTAACTGAGGTACTGGGTTTTTGGCTTGCTCCGCTTGCTTTTTCTAGCATTAATTACAAGCTGAAACTCTCAGTTTACAAAGTTAAAACGCTTATTGCTCCTTATTTTATTTTTTCTCTGACTCATAAAGTTACTGGTATCATTAGGGAAAGCTGTGGTGAGGGATCCAGGACTTGCACAGCAAGCATAATGCATGGCTGGTGGCTCTCCGCAGTGCCTCTCCATTAAGCTTAAGGCAGAATCAGAATCGATGTTGCATTCTAATATGGTGACTAGGTAGCTAAGATCCATCCAGTAGTTGTTAATTTCTTTTGACTACGTGACTAAGATACATTGCAAAACTGTCCTTAAGGTTGCAAAGTCCAGTCTTAAAATTTAGTAAGAGGCACTGTGGTTGACTGCAACCTCTGCTTAACTTGGCGGTGCCTGTGTTATGGCTGTCTTTAATTACAGTCTTTCATGCTTTTTGGAAAAAAAAAAACCAACACAACAAAAACCAAGAAACCCTATTATCCTGGCTTTCTTGTAGCGATGGGTGGATGTACGCAAGGTTTTACTGATAGTTACCTACCATTTTTGTGGTGCCTGCTCTGAGTCTTGGGTTTAGTTTGAAGATTTGTCTAGTACTGTCAGCTGAAGATGCTGGTCATTCAATTTGCGACTCACATCTCTGGATAAAAATTGGGTCTTTGAGATTTCAAATCTGCCACTGAAGA